AAAATATTTGAGTGTTTTTAAGACGGAAGAATGATGTGGTTTTGCATGCGAGGCTCTCAAACTTGTTTAATAAAATGGTGCGTGAAATGACGATTTTAAAGGAACTTGGTAATTTGCATATTTCTTTGAAATAAAAGGATATTTTGCCAAAAAGACTATCCAGTAGTTTTTGTCGTGCCCTAGCCTATCTACCATAAGAATATGAGCGAAATCGAATTTTCGACCCTTGCCGCGAAATTACGAATTTGTCTGATTTTTACAGGCAAGCACTCTTAATCACTCTTATGATAACAGACGGAATTGGACTCTACTCGGTCCTATTACCATCGACCATTACTGAAGACTGCGGAACATTCCTAAGACAGTGTTACAGGAAAACGCTTCCTTCAAAGCAAAGTGGAAACATTGTGAAACATATGGTCTCTGAAAATGAAAAAGCGACGGCGGTAACAGCGGACAGCATGCAAGCTGACAAATGGACTATATTCATGTGTAATAACATGTTATTGACATGAGATATATATCTACATGCATGGGTACGTAAGCATTATCGACTGTGTTGTCTTGTGAGGTAGCGTTTTCGCAGGGAGTTCATACATATTGTTATTTAGTGCTTGTTAAGGAAGAATTACAATTACGAAGATAATTTGGTTTTAAAGGTTTTGCTATGTGCAACCAACTGTCGCCCTGTTAGGTGTTATGTTTCATTTCATGTTTCGTATTGTTTTCAGCCACATGCATAGTAAGCTTCAGGGATGAAACTGGAAGATTTGAACCACCTCCATTCGATTTTGATCTTCGGCTAGAAACATCAAATCCCAACTGGCAGATCGCGATCGTCCTTTGTTTGAGAAGTGTGTTGTTAACAGAATCCGATTGTTCCACTTATGCAAATTCAAATGTAAAAGTTTCAGATAATTCAGTAAAAGTTCTAGAGTCGTGTCCGCATGTGGTGCTTTCTTTGTCTTCTCTTGTATTCGAACTGCTAACAGTCGCATTACACTGATTGGCAGATTGGATTCAACTCGCATCCTTGAATTGTAATTCGACTAAGCTTACCACGAAATTCAACTGAGCTTACCACGATCAGTTCCGTATAAACTTATATTTAACCATTTACCTTAAGACCTGCAAACGTGGAGCATTCGGCTTTTAATAACAACACTAGATTCGTGCGGAGGATTGTCAGCCAGTGGTGATGTTTGGTGATGAAAACTATGTACGTAGTTTTGTGGACAGTGTAAAGTGTAATAATTCAAGTTTTCCAAAATGCCTGTCAATATATATCTAAATAACTAACTGAGTGGCGATGGTAAGTAGCCGGTACACTTTGGCCAGAGAAAACGGAAACCTTCCCAGCAGTCACACTGAAATCAGGCTCAAGGAGTTTGCTTCCTGCTTGCTTACTCCAGTGCAATCTTCCTCTTCCAGGGTGGGCTGGTTAGTGGTGTTAACGTTGGTGCGATCAAGCAATTGAGTCTCTGGAGACGTCAACCCTGTTACTGCAGGGTGTGCCACAGCACATCAAACTCTTAAACTTAGTTCGAAACTTCTGGTTCACGAAAACGTAGATAAAAGGATTCACTGTGGAATTGCATGACACAAGAACAATAGAAACTATATAGATGACATTGCCATAGTTCTGTGAAGGAATGAAGTAGTTGAACACATAAATGAATTGGTTGGGCATCCAACACAATCCATAAATGACACTCACAGAAAGAACCATCTTGGTGACCCGTTTTCTTACTTTCATCACACCCTAGGAAAAAAAAAAAGGTATGATAAATGGAGAACATAATATAATACATTTTTCCCTTCCATCGCATTTAGTTTGAATTGAAATTTGGAGAAGCGACTAATATACACTTAATCACTGGTCCTTTGGGAAGCAGTTGATTTTGTTTTCCACCCACCAATATGGCGCAGGTTCGATTCCGCCCCGATATCATAAGTGGATTGGGTTTGTTGTTGTTTCTCGCCTTGCCCAGCGGGGTTTTCGCCTGGTACTCCGGATTTCTTTCCTCCACAAAAACCAACATCTTCAAATTCCAATTCGACCAGGATAGAGGAGCCGTATGAAGACGAACAAAGGATGATGTGGCCTCCTCTCTAAATTTTGCCATTAATTTTATTGATTCATCATTTAACTTGTGGTTTCAACTCTGGGTCGCTTAGGCATTGCTTGCTCAGAAGTGGGAAGCTCCACATTTTTCCGTACACGCGCTCATTCAAAGCGGGAGTGGGAAAATACTGCCTGCTTTTCTACTTTAGGGTCAAAATTAGCAACTGCAAATTTAATTCCTTCCAGATGAGAGAGATGATGCAAAAAAATTTACAGTATAGGCCAACATAATCTTTTAATTTTAGATTCACTCAACCAGAATTAAATGAATAAAAACTTCTATTTGATATTTGATCATCAGCGTTATTGTTTTTTAATGTAGATAGTGGTCGATGCGCTTAGCTACAACTAGCTAGTTCGTAGGCATGCCACTTAAACTGAAAGAAAAAAATATTTCCATTAAACTTTTAAAAAATTCCAACAGGTGGGGGTCAGACCAATAGGCTGTTTACAAGCATGACCGAGGAGTTGTACCTGTCGGGTGCTTTCCATTTCGTTTTCTTCGCGTTTAAACCACAATGAATATACCACTCTGGAATACAACACAGTCATCACCGATACAGGAATAAAACCAAGAAAAAAGAAGCAGGTGGTACTGTATGCCTTGGGAAGCCACTCTTTGGGCCAGTATTCAACGCAGAAATTGGTTTTTTGATCAAAACTGATTGTGAAGAAAAGTGGGCTGACAAGGATGGCTGCGGAAATCCATAGAACAGGAATGATGACCTGTTAACAGAAGTGAATTAATGTTGCGTCGCTGTTAGTTTCATGTAGGTTATTACTAGGTAATAGTCATCTGTGTCAGAACTAGGCTATAGACAGTGGGACGATGCTGCTGGAATCTGAGTATCAAGCATCGTCCTCACTACGCCTGAGAAATTAGAAAACGGCGCTTTTACTCTGAAAACGCATCAAATGGTTTCTGTCCATAATACGCCGCAGAAATTTGAAAACACGACAATCACCGGTCATTTTAGATCTGTACTTGAGGAAAACCCGGGAAGGGGCCTCACACGTTTAACTTCACGTCTTCGTTTTGGAAAAGCTCCGTTTTCAAAATGCTTTCCGTCCACACTAACACGCCAAACCAGCGTCCTCAATTTTTCTCAAATTCTTCCGGTTTGAAGAGCCTTTTCGAAAACCTTCGTTTTCGCGACGGATTAGTATGGACAGTAGGCCTGTCCAGCGTAGTGTGGACGGGGCCTCAGTTCATGAATATAAATACTAAATACTGTCTATACACTGTTTGAAGGTTCTGGATGGCGATTATCTGACAGTTGAGAATTGGTCACCATTTTGGCTCTCATGTGAGAAATGGAGCATGTTCTAATTATAGCCATCTGCAAAGTCTACTGATGACGTGGTGTATATAGTACTATAAACAATAGCCTCCATTCGGCGCGAAAATATGCTCGGATATTTGTGCCCGGACATTATCTGTTCCGAGAAGCGAACACTTTTCCGAGAGCGTAGCTCGAGGAAAACTGTGAGCTTTGAGGAACAGATAATGTCCAAGGATAAATATCTCAGCATATTTTCCAAGTCAAATGGAGGCTATTGTGTTTATTATCCTTCAAATATTTTTACAACACGCGCAGTTTTGAAAATTGGGGAATATTCTAGGATATTCCCCAGTTTTTGCTGGGGAACATTCGGTCACGTGACGTGCTCAGACCAATCGCGCGCGGGCGAAAATATTTGATGGACTATAAAGGCTGTTATAATCCATCAAATATTTTCGCTCGCGCGCGATTGGTCTAAACACGTCACATGACCGAATATTCCGGCCTCAGCTAAAACTGGGGAATATCCGAGAATATTCCCTAATTTTCAAAACTGCGCGTGTTGCGAAAAAGATTTGAAGGATAATAAACACAATAGCCTCCATTTCACGCGAAAATATGCTAGGATATTTGTCCGCGGGCATTATCTGTTCCGATAAGCTCACAGTTTTCCTCGAGCTACGCTCTCGGAAAACTCTTCGCTTATCGGAATAGATAATGCCCGCGGACAAATATCCTAGCATATTTTCGCGCCAAATGGAGGCTATTGTTTATACATTCAATAAAATCCAGGAGAGGATTTCTTGTGAAAACCTACTTTCCAAGATTGTGTATTTTCTGTCACTGGGGCTAAGGTATGATTCGGAGTCGTCACAGTCCTTTATCGAGGCCCGAAAACTAGCATCCGAAGCTGCTGCCATGTTTTCACGGTTTTCTCAACGGAGAGAAAAGGCGGACTTCGAACTTAATAGCAAAAACATAATACAGTTTATTCCTGCCATTGTTCCCATAAAGAGAAAGAGCAAGAAAAGAAAAAACTCTGCCGTGTGTGCCTTTCATTGACCTATTGAATTTTTTGATTTTGTTCTACATCCGGCGCCTCACCTGGCAAAGACATATCGGAAGTGACATCTAAGTATTCGTCCGCATGCGTTAATTACTTGCTTCGACTGGCAAAGACATAGCGGAAGTGACATCTAACAATTTTCTATCACGTTATTTATTGCTGTCCTAGCTGTTGCTGCTATTGTTTTGTTGTTATTTTAAAATGTTATTATCACTGTTATTTTCATTGCCGTTGCTGATGTTGTTGACATTGCTATCGATATATCTGTTTATTAAGCAATTTTCGAAATTGTTAATATGCACCTCCCGCAAATTTCAAAGCGCCAACTTAAATAAGAAAAAAAAGAACCGGCACGCTACTTGCTTTACATAAATAAACATTGTATACCTTTAACTTTCTGTACGTCAGTTTTCCTCGATTACCATAAGGATACATGACAGCATAGTAACGTTCAAAGGCGATGACTACCAGGGTAAACACAGAGGTAATTCCACCGTACCATGCTAAGTTGCCTCCGGTCAGCAGCTCACAGAACACTTTGCCGGCTAATCCGTCAGGATGTTTGAAAAGATGAATCAAGATAAAGCGTGGTGCGATGAACAGCGCAACCATCATGTCTGCTACAGCCAAGTTCAGGAGTAAAACGTTCATGGGAGTCCTGTGTGATCGAAAAGAATTGAAAGCATGGGTAAAATATTACAGCTGAAGAAGTAAGCTAAAGTTGATGACTTTGCTTAACCATTTTTAAAAGTGTTTTTGGTGGTTAACAATGACAATACGCGCTATATTTGGAAAAAAATCTATTTTTTTATAAGCGCCAAGGAATCTTAATTTCTTTGAGGATTTAATTCACTGATATCGTCTAGTGGCGTGCTAGTGTATTTTATCCTCATATTATCTAGGTATTTTTAGGTGTTTTACATTCCAATCGGTAATATCCTAGTTTTAAGGGGCCTCTCGCTTACCCCTCTCAATCAAAGACAGAATACTTTATTTTGCTAACAGTCTGAAATACTCCGACCTACCATCGGACATTCAAGCTAGAGTCTACGATTTCTTTTGGAGTGATGTGTTACTCGCTGTGTATACTTTTGTTGTGCAAGTTTTCCTTGTCCCTTGTCTTTGGTTTTGTTTTGTCTTCTTCTTTTTAATGGTCCTTCCCTAATATCAAGTACGTAATCTTAGTAAACATGTGGAAGGCGCAGTGGCCTCATGGTTAGTGCGCTCGACCCCGGAGCGAGCGGTCCAGGTTCGTGCCCTGGCCGGGGACGTTGTGTTGTGTTCTTGGCCAAGACACTTTACTCTCAAGGTGTCTCTCTCCGCCCAGGTGTACAAATGGGTACCAGCGAATTTAATGCTGGGGGTAAACCTGCGATGGACTAGCATCCCACCCAGGGGGGAGAAGAAATGCTCCTAGTCACTTCATGCTACCGAAACCGGAGAGAAGCGCCGGCCTGATGGGCCACTTGGCTCGTGCGCAGACGTTACCTTAATCTTAATAAACATGGGTCGTGACCGATGCACTACATATGCACAAGAGCATCTGCGCCGGTGCATTCATACAATTTTATTTCAAAGTTCATAACATACCTCATATCACGATTCAAAATAATAACAAGGCACACGGCTGTGTTTCCAAGGAGATTTGTGACCACTATTATGGTGAACATTATAGTTATTCCAATCTGGGCTGCTTCTGAATCCGTGTACAGAGACATAACGTCTTAAAATCGCTGGATAGAATAAAAGCCATGATAATACATAAAGGTCACAATAACTAGTTGCAAAGCTACATATTATTTACACTCTTTTTATAAGAATATATTTTATAGGAATATCGAAGCTCACATTTGCGAAATTTTTCTGAGAATAAACACAGTAGTCAATGTACACCTACCTTGTTCTTACATTCGAATATACAGTAATGAGCAAAAAATGCCAGAAAGATCCTCGAAATGTACAGGGCTTTAAAAAGGTTTAAAACGTACTGTCCTACAGAAACGACCTTGTCTTGTCCTCGTAGCTAACAAAATTTAAAGGCAATAAAACTTACGTCGTTTTGGCCTCTTCTAATACTTAACTTTAGGATCCTGGGTTTAATTTAACGAGCGAATCCGGCTTGGTGCAATTGCTTGAAGCGAATGATCCTGTTTTGGCTCGGGATGAGCAAAAAATGCTTCATTTTTTCATTTGTTACAATTTGTTATGGTTTCGGTGAGTTTAGATCCCTTTTCGATATATAATATTCAATGCATTCTCTAGGAACTGCCTTCAATATCTTTTCTGTTGCTAGGGACAGCACATTTAGGACAGTGATTGTCAACTCAGCAAATATAAACTTCAAATCAAATTAGTTATAGCAATAAATTTAAAATTACCCTTTTTGAGTGGATTGTCAAGTTACATAGGAAAGAAAAACAATAAATATAATAAACTGAAATAAAATATATGTATGTCAATTACTACCGAGGAAGAAATCCAGTAAGAACGTGTTTTATTTTTTATTTTATATTATTTTATTTTTTACTTTTTTTTCGTGGGGAGGGGAGGGGGGAAATTAAACGGATAACTGCTGCCATCCATTCTGTTTTCCCAAGACATTTGCAAATATGAGGAAAACGGTAATCCCACCTTCTTGAGGTTTGTGTTCCCCTTTCGAAGTTTTTGAAATGGAAAACAAAAGTAACGAGTAATGAAAATTGCAACTGAGAGAGCTTAGGAAAAATGCAATAATGTTGTTGTTTGCTTTTTGTTCATTAGAATATCCTGTTGTGGACATAATTCATTACTTTGCGAAGTGTAGAAATCTTGTTTCCTTAGTCGAAGTAGTAAGTATCCTGCGATCTCTGATAAACTCGAGCTAAAATGTACGTCTCCAGTTCGTTGTAAGATATTCTTATTCAATTTAATTAAACCAAAAAAAAAATTTTTTTAAACTAGACATTGCGAGAAACAAACACTGGCAGCTGTTAAAATATAGCGTACAATTAACAAAGCAAACCAGTACAAGTTGATTGTTGAAAACGTTCACTACATTTTTTTTTTTTTTAATAAAAAATTATTTTCTTAAGATTTGCATACCATTTTTATAGCTTCTCTAATTCCCAGCCGAAAGACTTAGCTGAAGTGGGATGAGTCGTCAATTTCAACTTGCAAAAATTTTCAAAACGTTGTAAAAAGTCATTTTCGAAAAACAACGTCCAGCCTTCTTTCCCTAACAATGCATACATAAAAGGCCAGTGTAGGGGAGATTTTTTGCTACATTACTGTCATCGACGTATATCAGTGTGTACATTATGTGCTCAGACTAGCTCCAGTTAAACAGCTAACTGTTTTAAGCGGTTTTCAGCCATTTTGTGCCTCTGAGGACATTTTTAGTTATCAACTAGATAAAACAGTTTCAGTTCGCAAGAAAAGCAAACCGACATCTCCGTTTCGTTTGTGTGTGTTTCCTCTCAGAAGTAAACTGCTCGAGGAAATCATTATCGGGAAATAACAAAACTTACCGCTAAAGAAAGCCGCGTTCGTAGAAAAGGACAAGCGGTTACTGCTTATCTGTTGAATACTTAAATTAAACCTAAACCTGAACTGACAATTTTCAGATGACAGTTAATTGCCACTCACGTTGTGGGACGGGTTTCTTCGAGAAATCAAGTTTCAACCAGAGTTTCTACCAGAAGAGCTTCTAGAATTAATGACAATCTTTATTTAAAGGCCTCCGACTAAATTTTTTATTACCGTACATGTCATTATATTTAGTTTGTGGAACGACAGGTGTTCATTACAAATGAGACTATTGGCCGATCGGTTTTTCTATAATGAATTATTTTTATAATGAACAGTTCTTTTGTTTTCAACGGCACTACAGCTGCTTTATGTCAAAGGCATTGCGAGCCAGAAAATAATGTAATTCTTCGTCAAAGTTATTACTGAGAAAATCTTGTCAACAGAACATGATGTATTTTGACGGATGCTAGATAATTACGTGTCAGAAAGATATACAAAGGGCATCTGAAATTACATATCAACATGTAGGGGTAAGGTTGGAGTACTTTTAATGACTACTAGTAAAAGCAAGTAAAGTCAATTATATTGATACCGAGGTTAGGAATAAATATTGCTAATTTTAGGCTTCATTATCTGATTGAAATTGAGCCCGTTTGCGAAAGGGCCTGCCGGAGCTAGAAGTACGGCAACTCAGAATAAAAAGAAACAACAAAAAGAACAAACAAACAAACAAACAAACAAAAAAGCCGTAAAACATGTAACACCATATGTAATACCAATCGCTATGATAACATGCGCTCAAGGGGGGAGTGGAGGCATCAAAACAAAAAATACAAATTTAGTTAAACATGCAGAGCGGACTTCTTAACATGTATTTATGTGCATCTACATGTGTTCACATACTACACATGAACGTAAACAGGCTGGGTAAACTTTTTTTCTTGGCCGGCCGGGTGACTGAGCCACCTTCACCTATCTTTTTCGTCACTAGGTATCGCCTAAGGCCTCGTGGTGACTGAGAAAAAGTGCTCTACTTATGAATATCTGTTCTCAGTGTTTACTAATAAATTTAGAACACAAAGCAAACTCCTGCTCTTTACTTAGTAATTTGTTTCCATTGTCATTCTAATAAGCCGGTCGGTTCGCGGTTTGACTCTCCTCCAACACC